TTGTTTATGGTTTTCAGTGAGTCTGTCCAGGGAAGTACAGGTTTGACAACCTCATCCGTGAAAAAAACCTGATTTAACTGAGCGGATCCCCACCTTAGTGACTCTGACTGGCCCCATGAGGTTGGTGTCCATCGACATCTGGAACTCCTGCTCGCTGGTGTGTAGCAGGTCTCTACGTGGCAACACGCCTGCATTGTTCACCAGCACGTTCAGTCCACCTCCCTCCAGCTTGGCCCCCACATTCATCGCTGCCTCTTTCATGCTTCTTGGGTATGTGGTATCTGCTCAGGTTTGGGGAGCGAGATGTGGAACTGGGTACAACTGAATCCGAGAGCTGCTGGATTTGAATACAATCAGATCTGATTTAAATAGGGTCCAAGTACAACTGGAAGTGAATACATTCAGATCTGAGTACAACTGGATTTCAGTACAATTGAATATGAATATAGTTGGCTCTGAATACTAATAGATTTGAGTAAAATTGGATTTAAGTACAATTGGATCTAACTACAATCGAAACTTTGACATCCATATAAAATTGAGTCTGAGTTCAAGGATACCTGAGTAGAATCAGATATGAATACAATTGGATCTCAGAACAATTGGATCTGAATACAATTGGATTTGAGTACACTCAGATCTGAATAGAATCGGATTTGTTTGCATTTGTATCTGAGTACAGGAATTGAGTACAGTTGGTTCTCAATACACTTGGAACTGAGTACAACTGGATCTGGTTACAACGGAACTGGAGTAAAATCACAGTAACTACTTCTTTTTGACAATATCATATGATGGCACAGAGAAGGAGAGAGGGAGGAGAGAGGACTGAGAGAGGAATGAGAGAGGGACAGGAAGTGAGCAGAGGAATGAGAGAGATTGGGCGTTTGTCCACCGCACCAGGTACCGTACTTTCGGTACTTCCATAAAGTACCGAAAGTTTGGTACTTCTTTCATGTCGGTTTTCCACTGGCGTGAAAAATGGTACCGGCGCCAAATGACATCATCAGTGACCGCCCCTGACTGACAGCCCAAAATTAAAACTAACAGTTGAGGCTGGAAAATGCGGTTTATTGTTATGTTAGCTTCTATCACAGTATAAGATTCAGTAAAATCCAATCATTTACGTTTACGTAGGTACACTTACTTTGGCTAAGCCGATCAAAGCAGTAAGAATTAGCTTACTGCTAATTCAGTCTTTTGAAAGCAAACAAATTATTTAATTATGTTTTTTGATTTTCAAGCAGCATTGTTCGGTGTTTCGCGTGTGCCCCATTTCTTCCAAGCGGCTTGGTATTACGGTGTTCCGGGCAATTAAGTTTCCCTATATTTCTCCTGTCTACCAGGAAATAATGTTTCTCCTAATATTAAAGCAAAGAGGTATGTGAAATGTCTGAAAATCACTACATTATTACATGTGAATACAGTAGATCGTCACGCATAATATAGTCTTATAAGCAATACTATACCGTTTTCATCAAGAAATACCTCTATCCAGCGAATTAAGTAATTTCATTTATTATTTGTAAAAACAAAAAACATACAAAAGGCATGTGATGTTTTAAAATTAATATATGGCTTGTTTACCTCGTAAAAAGACATGAAAACAACAGCGAAACCGTGTTCAAATCAGCGCGCGACAGGGGAAACATAGGGAAACTGAACTGCTCGGAACGGCAAAAACTTTTTTTATTTCGAGTCGTGCCATCCAAATCCCACTGGATCTGTTCATCCGACCATATGGCGATTAAAACCTGTGTTTCCTCGTTTGTCCATCCTTCCATTTTACTTTTTTATATTTTTGTTTCTACTGCTTTTTATTTTGTTTCTCGCTGTGTATTTCAAAAGATGGCGGTTGTATTTTGTGTTTCAGCGGCAGGCTATTTGCATAACCAATCGACAGCAAATACGTTTGCAAGTCCCACCCCAAAGTACCGAAGTACCAAAGAAGTACCCCAACTTGTTTGGCACTTTCGGTACTCGAGTACTCGGTACTCGGTACTGGTACTCGACCGGAAGTCAATGGAAAAGCGAAAGTACCGTACTTTGTGCGGTGGAAAAGCGCCCTTAGATGCATGTTACCAAGCTGGATCACAGTGATGACTTTGGTGTACTTCTTAGCCAGATCCTGTAGGGCCTGAGAGAGAAGAAAATAGAGCAAGATGGCAACCTTCATCATCATCATCATCATCATTACATATTTAATATGACACAAAAGAACTTCTACAGCTTACAGGTTTTACAGATACTACTCCCTGAGACACATGGTCCCTCCCTCCATATATGGGTGAATGGGTCTGATGCCCATTTTGGTCATGAGTAACTCTCCAGCCAGTTACCTCCCTCGTACCTGCGACTTTGGGGCATCGGGGTCGCGGCAGGCGGCAAACAGCCGGCAGGTGGAAGCTCGGGACTCCACCAGCTGTTTGACCATCTCCAGGCCGAGGCCCCGGTTGGCTCCGGTGATCAGGAAACTCTGCGCTTTGCTGGCGGCCATGGCGTTCTGTATGAAGATCTCCGTCTGTCCTCCTCACCTTCCCCGTTTCCACCTAGTGCCTGTAGTGCTGATTCACGATTGTTTATAAACCAGATCAACATCTGTCACTGTTAAGGCTCCACCTCGTCCAACCCGGGGAGGTCAGGGAGCCGTGCCATGTTTGAGCTCCGCCCCATGGTGAGGAGGGGTTACTGGTGGGCGGTGAGAAGAGGACTACCTGGTCATGCTCTATTCACAGCAAAATGGAACCAGAAGTCAGATCTCTGTAATCTTTAAGCTTTAGAGTCTGGGAAATGCAGAATGGAAGGTATCATGGTGAGGTTTTTTTCACTCCGAGAGTCCTGCGGGAGATTGAGTAAGTATTGTAGGAGAAGGGAGGATGAATGTGGTGAAAAATGAAAGGAGATAAAAACGGTGCTGGTGACCGTTTCCCACCGACTGCTGGGGTTTCTGCGGCCAGATTTTGGACACGCCCACACTTGGCTCCCCGATTGCAGGGCGGGGGCTATCGATATGAGGAATGCCTTGAATGATCCTGGAGATTAAGCACCTTAAGTTCAACCCACATGGCCGCAGATATATGCAGTTTCTTGGTGAGCGGACACATTCAAACAGGACCTTCATCTTAAGGGTTCCATTGAACCCAATCCCCGGAACAATGGAAAAGTGGTATCAAAACTCAAAATACTAGCAATTTTATTGAGCAGAGGCGTAAAGTAACCAATTACAAATATTTTGTTTCTGTAGGGCTACTTAAGTATGTTTTTATCTGGATTTGTTTTTTACTTAAGTATTTTAGGTTGTTGCAGCTTTGACTTTCACTTCACTAAATGTCTGAGTCAAATAACGACTTTTTAACTCAGATACATTCTACGCGATAGTCATTACCTATTTAGAATAATATTAATACTATTGCAATACTATTGCATGGAGCACACCTGCGTAGGAATGCATGATTCTAGGTAAAATATGTAATTTAGATAATCTAGATCAGGTGTGCCCACACTTTTTCAGTTTGCGAGCTACTTATAAATGACCATGTCAAAATGACCTACCTACTATAAAAATGCAAAACATATATTTATTTATAGATATACCGAGTATTCTTTATTATTATTCTTTATTACTATTATTATTAATTTCCCTTTGGAATAAATAAAGCGTTTTTGAATTGAACTGGGATTTTAGTTCCTTCACCTTTCTCTTTCTCAGCTCGCTTTTCGGAGGGAAGTTAATGTCGTAGTTTTTTATGAACAGTCGGAAAATGCCGCTCCACGTTCCCCTTCTTCGGAATAGCAGTGGCAGACTGACAGATGAGGCAAACGCACTTCGAATATGACATTGTGAAAAAAGGTCGACCTCCTTCCATTCCGTATGGAAGTGGTAGGTTATTGGCTTCTTACTTGGGTCAGCTTCCCCATTCATTGTTATATCCCTTCTTAAGTTTAGTAGAAATAAATTGGAGGTTGACTAGAGGACTCCGTCGCTTGCTGGAGTTTTGCAGCAGCTGGCGCGGTTGATCGCATACGTCATCCATCCTCTTTTTTATGCCATGCGATCTACCTTTGCGATCGCGATCGACGTATTGGGCACCCCTGATCTAGATAATCTAATTTGTTTTGCTCAGAATCGAGATCGCAATTTTTTTCATGATTCTTGAGCAATATATTTCTTCATGATTATTATTATTATTGTTGTTACTTTACATTACATATTGTCTGTATGAAGATGGAACAACCAGTATGTAGAAATGTATACGATGTATTGGTTATCAAAGCATAACCGTAGTCCTGTATTTAAACTTTATCAAGATTCAATGTTAGCAATACTAAAGAGCTACTACTGAAATAATGGGCAAATAGTTTTGTTGTGCAAGTGCAGAGTTTAAAGTCTTAAAATAAAAGCACTGCAATATGTGTAACAACCGATGTGTGTTTATGCTTCAAAATTGCTTTTGCGCGCATTAAGTGATGTGAATCACAAGGAAACGCAAAACATTTCAGCAAAAAATGTGGCAAGACCTGCAATTTTTTTTTTTTACTAGCTAACAGGTTAATGTTCAGTTGTTTTTTTACTCACCCTTTGTCTAAATTATTCACCTTAGTGAGTAGGCGAGCTTAATTTCTAGCCCTGGGTTGAATATTTGATTAGTGAGTCCTGACTGGTAGATGGGTAAACCGTGGTACTCTAAGTTTCCTTAACATCTGTCAGTTAGTTTACCTTCTGTTGTTGTTAACTAGCTGTCTGACAGAGCCTTTCAATCAGAAGCATTAAAAGATGCAGTTAAACCTCTTGAAAGAGGTGGTTATTTGTCCTGGTTATTGATGAAAATTGCTTTGGTTATATTTTTCCTTCAGGGAGTCAACCGAGCCGTCCGCAGCTCTCTGTGTTACTAGGGGCGGTGTGAGGTTCAGGAAGCTGGGGTGCCCTGTCTGTGATTGGACGTTGTGCCCCTGAGCAAGGCCCTTAACCGCCAACCGCTGCAGGGACTGTGTGTATGTCACTTTGGGAAAAAAATTGCCAAATAAATTAAATGCAATTTCCATAGACTCTGCCAAATCCTTGTATATCTCAGACCCAAGACAAGTATTAATACAGTAAGTTTTCATTAGTACAGTAAGTACCCAAGATACGAACCAGTTCCATTCCGAGAGCGGGTTTGCAAGACCCAAGTCAAACAAAGTTAGCCTAGGCATCCAGCAGATGGCGCTCCAACCCCCAACTCCTATCGAAAACATGTACATGTATACAGTAGCTATTTGTACCTAAGAAAATGCTTTTAAGAGTTAATATTTACATTTTTTGATATAGATTTGTAGTGTATTTTTTAACAAAAAGAAGAATTGTTTTTAATTTCCATTGAATTTACTATTATCTATTCACTATTATCGAACTAGCCTACACGACATATGCACAGCTAACCAATCTCTGTCAACTCATTTAGCCTACATATGAAAATGCTTTTAAAAGTTAATATTTATATTTTTGTTATTGGTGCATTTTAACAATCAACATCTGAGTTCTTTTTTTCCATTGTTTTCAGTCAGCTGATCTCGCCTACCGCTGGCGAGCGAGCCTATGTTACTGTACCAAGAATATCAGATATATAAGCCTCAGAGGTTGGATCAAACATACGCACTGCCACGGCATTGTAAATTCCTGCACAATTTTTAATTTTGCAATTATTTAAACAATTTTTAATTTATTGGACACGCACGTTCGCATCTTTGAAACTCGCATGATGAAGGTTCATATGAGGAGTATTTTCTGTACATGACCAGGGATTGTACATGGACAGCCATGTCCGTGGTAAGACTGTGTACATGGTAAAATGCTTTAAAAAGAAAAACTATGTCCGTGGTAAAAAAATAAATAAATCTATATATAATATATGTGTATGTGTATATATGTGTATATAAATATATATACGTTTTAATCAGAAGGTCCGTCAGAGCTCCCCCTGGTCTTGATTCCTGTTCATGATTGCTTACGCTATGCGCATTATACATCTCTAATGATGCAAAATGCAAAGAAAGGTAACAAATTTCCCACCCCAGGGGTCTGATTCCCCTGAATGCACTCTATCGGCGACAGCCTTAGTTTATAACTCTACAGCAAACTTTATCCTCAAAATATTTTCTGAGATATATATTTTTTCAATGGAAGATGAACGTTTTTTTGTTTGACTTCTGTTTTTGCTTTATTGGAATAGAAGAAACAAACATGCTCTCTGTTATCCAGCAGTGGCTGTTTTTTTTCATTCTAATCTAGACATTCAAGGTGGGAGGGGGGGGGGGGCAACAGTTAGCATTGTCTCCTCACACCTCGGATTCCACCTCTGAATGGAGTAGAGATGGTTTTCTCCATTGCCTTGGTTTCCTCTAGTAACATACTGACATTTACTAATTAGGTGATATCTCTAAATTGTCAACAGCATGTGAATGTGCGCATGTTCGCTGGGATTGGCATCCCATTCAGGGTGGAGCCTAACCAGGGTGTACCCCAGCATTGATCCCTATGTTTCCTAGTTTATGTCCCAGACCCCCATGACAGGATAATAGGGGCATATACAGGGGCGGGGCCACTGGGCACTGACTCCAGCTGATTGGCCTTTGGAGTGCTCCCTGCCTTGTCACTCATCAATTCAAAAAGCATTATTGGCAAATGATAAGGCCAGCCCCTTTGCATGAATTATGGCACCCTCCCTTATAAAAGAATGTATATTTGCTCCTGCTGAATCAGTAGTTGAAAAATGGATCGATTAAATGTTTGAGAAGCTGAAATTAATTGATTAGCTGCTATTTCTGTCAAGGCAATAAGGACTCTACTGCCAATCCATCACAATAGAGAGTCGCATTATTATTCACATCCACCTTTATTCAGATCCTGTTGGGGGCGCCTGCGTTCACCAAGGCAGGGGCTTGCCATGGTAATCCAGGAAGGCTCCATTCTCCTTCTCCGTGAGGGA